CCCATAGCATCCCCCGCCCGATAGAAAACCCATAATATCCAACCCGAGAAATGGAAATCGTCTGTTCTAATTTTACGATAGTGGGGGTCAAGCTTGGGACTCAGGTACAACGCTACTAGTGGCATAGCATGAACTGCTTGTCTAGATTCCCGTGTTTCAGCTTCGAGCGCGCCCTCCTTGGAGCATTTCTTCCTGCATCCATCTCTCATTGTCCATGAGAGCTGGCCCGGTACTTCCCATATTAATCCTAGCACATGGAATTGCATTCTGGTCGTTTCCTGCAATTCGTCCTGGCTTCAGGTGCGTTCTCGCTCTGAGTCAGTCACGTTTCGCGCGGCCACGCGGATGCTTGTCCAGCAGTGTGCACAGCCGGACTCGGACTTCCGCATCGTCACCGTGCTCAACTTTCCAGCAATGTATAGCGAGGAACAAAGGCCTGTCAGCCTACGGTGTATTCAGCGAACACGTTCAGTGTGATTTGCCAGTCTCAGCGGGCCTTCATCATACTTGTGCCGTGCGGGCAGATGGTCAGCTTGTCTGCTTTGGAGGCAATGAGGAGGGGCAGTGTGATGTGCCAGCAGATTTGGGACCAGTTTGGGCAGTCTCAGTGGGCAGTTTTCATACTTGTGCAGTGCAGGCAGGTGGTCAGCTCGTCTGCTTTGGAAACAACAGGTACAGGCAGTGTGATTTGCCAGAAGATTTGGGACCAGTTTTGGCAGTCTCAGTGGGCGATTGGCATACTTGTGCAGTGCAGGCAGATGGTCAGCTCGTCTGCTTCGGACACGACGACTACCTGGAGCCAAAAGATTTGGGACCAGTTTGGGCCGTCTCAGCGGGCCGTCAGCATACTTGTGCAGTGCAGGCAGACGGTCAGCTCATCTTCTTTGGACGGAACGTGGGAAGCAGTGGGACGTGCCAGCAAAATTGGGTCCAGTTTGGCCAGTCTCAGCGGGCAGTTTTCATACTTGTGCAGTTCGGGCAGCTGGTCAGCTCGTCTGCTTTGGAAGCAACGTGTTCGGGCAGTGTGATGTGCCAGCAGATTTGGGACCAGTTTGGGTAGTCTCAGCCGGCGATGACCACACATGTGCAGTGCGGGCAGATGGTCAGCTCATCTGCTTTGGACGCAACACCTACGGGCAGTGTGATGTGCCAGCAGATTTGGGACCAGTTTGGGTAGTCTCAGCCGGCGATGACCATACATGTGCAGTGCGGGCAGATGGTCAGCCCGTCTGCTTTGGACGCAACGACTACGGGCAGTGTGATGTGCCAGCAGATTATTTGGGGGCAGTTTGGACAGTCCCGGTTAGCGCTTGGGCAGGGGCTGGACGTTGGGGTTGGTGCTGGCGCTGGGGCTGTCGCTGCCGGCGCTGGCTCGGGCGATTGGGTCTGGCGCTTCGCTGGGTGCTGTTTGGATCATTGTCCTAGCTACTCTTGCTATGCAGCTCACCTGCTTTGGAGATAAATGTTCTGGCAAAGATGATGTGCTCAGTCGCAGATCAGAAAACGCTTGAGAGTGACAAGCCTCAAATCTTCAGCAGTTCAAATCTCAGATACTGCCTATTATTGCCCTCAACTCTGTAGTAATTTTGCCCTAACTTATTTTCAATATTTTCTAT